CAACAACAGCAACATCAACAACAACAACAACAACAACAACATCCCTGCTTGCGAACGCTTTCCCTGCCTGGTGGTTACTGATTGGAAACGTTCATACAAGCAGGTACGTGATCCCAGTGTCCCAGGATCATGTCACACTCAAGAGTAATCGTTGGTGTGAATCTTATCCGTGTACCTCAAGCCCCCTTGCTTCTCTGTAAAGAAGCCCAGCTACTCTTAACTTAAGATCGAGGTGCACACACATACACCCTCCTTGTGCCTGTGAAGTTAAAAGTCTGCATGTAAGGCAAACTACATGCCCACCGGCCCCGAGCAAGGGAGCCAAACTGCCATTTCGGCAGATGTTCCAGACAAATGCATTCCGCAGTCCACAGCAAGTGTCCAATTTCGTCGGCACTGCCGCCCACCCCAACCAAACACCAGAGGCAGCACAGAATGCTGCAAGCTGAGCTGAGACCTTGCAGGGTATGCTCTTTGCCTGATACCCACGGCTAATTCGTTCACAAGGACCTCCTGCACATGCGTCGAGGTCTTCAACTAAAGGCCCTCGAACGAGCATGACTTCGGGAAGGGTTCGGGAACTTGAGCATCCATTTTCGACGGTCCAAGGAGTTGTGCACCGGAATGAATCAGCTGCCTCAGGAGTAAAGAGGAGGAAAAAAGAAAGCGGAGGAATGAAGCAAAGACCAATCGTCACCGGTGCGAGCCATGATAATCATTATACCAAACAGGACTGCCTTTGCTTCTGCTTCTTTTGCCTCTCGCCTTTTCCGTCGCTTTTCCTGAGCACATTGATTGCTGAAACATTCCGCGAGTGTCGAGTTTGATGAGTTGCCTTCTTGGTTTCGACCACCTTCCCGCCCTGGTCACGGTCCAGGCGAGGCCGGGATTCGTAGATGACAGCTGCGGGGCACAGCTCAAAGCCTGATTCTCTGTTGCGGCTTCCTCCGCGGGTGTCTCCGCTTCAACCTCAGCAGCCTGAATCATCGAGGCATATCAAGGCAAATGCAACGCCAGACTGCCACATACTACCACATACTGCCACACCGCTAGCCATGATCGAGCCTCCTCGGGCTCATCCTCCTGTGATTCCATTCTACGATTCTACGAACTGCTTGACATCCGTGGAAGCCCTTGCATCATCGCTTGCTGCCTCCATGTCCTCAGCCTCATCATCTGCCTCTTCCTCCACGACTTGACCTCAAAATAGCAGCTGCTCCAGCTGGTATGCATCTTCCTTTGTGATTAAGGAACGTGCCATCAACCTCATCCAGCTTGCGTTTGCCCTGGCCATGCAGAGGAACATCTGATACATAGCTGGCTATCTCATTCTTCCTAAACAGAAAGCAAGGCTATATGGGGACTACGCTTCACATAAACCTTGGTTTGGGAGTGAGGTCAGTGGAGGCCGTTTTAAGTGGCCCAGCGATACTTGCGCCCTCAGAACAGTGCACTTGGAAGTCCTTTCGAGAGCGGCGGAAGTCTGGCAAAACCTGGGCAAGTCGTCCCAAGAGTGCAAGGGGCTCTTCACACAGCACCTCACCAAGAGCCTTGCTTCTTTCGCTCCACGGGAACGCTCCTGTGAAACCAAAATCTGAGCAGCAGCTCGGCACGCATTAAGGCAATTCTCCAGTTTAGCATCCTTGGACGGATCATGGAAAGGTCCAAGGTCGCGATAGTAGCCAAGCCTTGCATTCTGCTGGACTTCTGGACTTGCCTCCGCATGCAGTTTAAGCAGCGGACCCACGTCTGCCTTTCTTGAAGACAAATCCTGGACGAGCTCCGAGGAATTTGGAGCACGAATCAAAATCCTGGCGCGCGTGAAAAAGCATCAGGACCTGTCCATTCGAGTCAGAGTTGAACCTTGGTCCACTCGGGCATCGCCTGCCCGGAAGATTCAGACTTCTGGCGGTCTTCGCCGTGAAGCCTGCGCTTTGCTTCTGCAAACGCATGTTCCCCATTGCCTGGCACAGGCCTTCTCATCTCTGCCATGAAGGCAGAATGAAACTCAGCATCTGAGTCCTAGCAGTCGAGGCAGTCTTGAAGTGATATGCCGAAGAGCATCCAGGCCTCATCTCCATGTTCCTCACCTTCTTGAGGGAGCGGAGCTTCAGGAGCTTCAGGAGCTTCAGGAGCTTGCTGAGGTTCTACCTTTGGTTCCCGGATCCCGTGTGAAACATGTCGAGCACGCTCCTGCACGGCCTCATCACATGGTGGCAAGGTGGTCGGCTTCGCCGGCAACGGCGGCGCAGCGGAGGGCGTGAGCTCCAGCATGGAGCTAAGAGCTGTGACATGCTAGGATTCTACGATCAAGCCAAATTGTTTGGGAAGTTGTCAACTTGCAGTCTGACTGTGCCAGTGAGGGGCTAGTACCTCGCCAGTGAAAAGAACCTCTTCGACTGCTTGGCTATGAATGGAGGGTAGGGAACACACGGCGTCTGATTTAGAAACTTCAGAGTTCTGCACATTTCGTGCGGTGAGCACAGTACTGGTCTGTGTGTCTTTGAGCAGCGCTGCTGGCATGCAGAGATTTACGGCAACGAGAAATGATCCAACTCAGATGTGAAGGCCAGACTGCTTCGCTAAAAATTCAGCTCGACAAGACACAAAAGGCATGGGGGAACAGAGGGTTCTGAGACTGGGAGAGGTTTGACCATCTGTTGCTCGGCTGGCAACATGGGGCATAGTTTTGGACCAGGCTTGGTTAATTTGACTGCTTGGTGAAGAGCCTAGACGAGAAGAATTACTTACTGCAAGAGGCAGTTGAAACCCTACCTCCCATCATCGCGTGTCAGCAAATCTCTATGAGCCTCTGAACAAAGAGGTTCAGTGTCAAGACCTTTGAACCTTGCCCGGGCATGTATCACACAGCCACCTGAAACAGCAGGCGAAGAATTCCCAGAAGCACGTGGCGTTTTGAAACCGAAGGTGCCAGTCTAAGTGCTTCGAGCGCCGTCCATGACCTTTGCAACCATCTCATCTATGTCGACAAAGGTGTTGATAGTGAATGGTCCGCAGGTGGACACTTCGTATCTCCATGGCGGGCCGTACGTCGAGTCGCGGTCCACCAAGATGTGCACCGGACAGTCCTGCCCAACAGCCTTCACAGCTACGTGAAGAGCAAGCGCTGTTCCTAAATTCGAAGCAGACATGGTATAGGAAGCGTCAGTCCTTCAGAGAACAAGGCTCTGCTGAACAAGCCCAAGGTAATCGAAGCGGTGGATCTATAAGCCAAAGGCCGGCTGGCTTCAGGCCCTTCGCAACCATTTCACGCGCAATGGCAAAGGCAACGAAGGCACCGGTTCCCAGGCCCACGAGCGCCAGGGATTCTGCGACATCCTTCTTGGCCTCACGTCAATCTTATGACATCTCGCCGACCGTGAAAGGCCAGCTACAATCAATAGTTCATGCCTCTGTCAGAATGATTTGAAAAAACCAGACTTCCGGTTGAGCCATGACGCCTCCAAGAACCCTTTGGCCAGATCTTGCGCAAGCTGGTCATGCCGCTCATCTTCAATGATGTCCTCTCGCAAAGCGAGAAATCTGAAATCATGGAGTCTGAAACAAGATTACAAGATGCTGTTTGTGGGCATCCTTGTTCAGAAGCTGTCGGGAGGGCACTTCTGCCAAAGAACAATGCCAGTTGATCTTTCGCTGCTCCTCCGTATAATCCACCTGTAAATGTGGGATTTGCCATGCTACCTTGTTTTTACCGAAGGCGTTCTGAGCTTTTGTTTTTGGAGCATGTTTTGAAGTGTTTGTATTGAGTTCAGTACGGTCCAACAACCTCAAGGTAAGGACGTGCCTGCAATTAACCGCTATCCAGTGTTCAGGCAGTCGTTCTCTACACCGCCCGCATGGATTTCAATTTTGAAGGCCTGACGTCATGCATGGCATCTTCGGACGGTCATCAATGATCGACCTAAGCCTCCCTCCCTGCAGCACGAACACCAGGAAATTAATCTGAAAGCTCCGGAATGCTTCGGACATCTAAGAGCAAGTCTGCAAACAATGGAGAGGCTCGTTTGGTAGGTCTGTTCAAGGCCTTGCGGGGCGGTGCTGCATAAAAGCCGCATTCATCAGTCTCCCCTCTACTTCTACAAAGAAGCACCTTCTACATCAGCTGGGATCTTGCACATGTTCAGAAATCTCTGCAGCCAGGATGCATGATCCACATCCAGCTCTGCAACGGCTTTTTTCTGAAAGATCTCATGAGACGCGCTGCAAACCTGCAAGAGGAGCTCCAGTCTTTGAATCGGATTCGGAGGTGTGCCGCCGCGGACCCAAGGCTCGCCTGGGCTCTCCAAGGCCTCACCCGCAGCCTGCCGAGCCTTGTTTTGGCAGTCTCCCAGAAATAGGGGGACCCCAATAAGGACCCCGAAATCCTTGCTATTATAGGGACCCCTGACAAGGTACGCACTGTTTGCCTTACTCTTGCACAGGCACCCGCAGCACGTCTAGGACTTTTGGCAGATCGCCAGGTCCCTCAGGGTCAGGGACCACCAGCAGCCGCCTAGCAAACTTGAGAGGTACAGAAAGCTCAGCCGCAGTAGACTTTTTTTGCACGTCGAGCACCATGACTGCCTCAAATCGACGAAAAGACACACAAAAGATGCGAGCGAAGCCAAGACGGCGATGTGAGCCACTCCCTGGAGGCCAGTATCACCAGTATCAGTTGGTGACTGTTTCTCCGTAGAGCCTGAGACCGCAGAAATGAACAGAAAAAGGAGATGAGCGAAGCCAAAACTAAACCATGAGCCCCAGCAGAATCAGCATGGGGCTTGCAGGAACCTGCTCCCACGAAAGAAGCTAGCAGGCTCACAAGAGAGGCGGAAAACGGCTCCCAGGGTGATCCAATCCAAAGCCACCCAACCCTCCAAGCCCGCAAGGCAAACTAAGTTTGTGGGCATGAAGGAGCTCCCTCTCACGACGGGCCTTCTTGACGACCTAGCGTTTTGGGAAAGGTTCCTGCAAGGCCAACTCAGCCATAGAACGTGTATGTACATATTCTAGTGCTGCGGGTTCTCGCCAGCTGAAACCTGCGCGCAAAACCTGCACAAGCTTACGCACGCTTGCTTTCCACTTACCACGCAATTTTGCACAAAACTTGCCGTGATCTGCACCACATGACTTCAAGACGTAGCAAAAGCAACCAGCAACAGGAACCTGAGAAAAGACTTGCGTGCAGCGCAAGCATGAACAAGCTTGCGCCTACACAACGCTTAGGAAGTAAGCTACCCGGGCCCGCCTCTTGCTCGGAGGAACGCTCACATCAGTGGACCGCTGCAAAGGGAGCCACAGCTTCGCACGGACTGCGTTGTCCTGGCATTGGCATGGCAAGAGAATCCATGAGCAAGCACGATGAACAACTGTAGCCTTACAGTCTTACAGGATTCTTCTGGTGAGGCAACGTAGTCTGTCAGCCTCGTGGTCAGTTGGAGTGAATGTATCTCCCTTCTCCATGGCATCTAGAAATCCTTGGCTTGCTCCAGTCTGTCAATGTGACAACTCTTTGACTTCAATCGCCGCAAGCTCCGCAACTCTATCTAATGAAATTGTCTTTCCTGCAGCCAGTGCTCGTGAAAATCGCCAAAAGACCTTAGATCCTCTAGCACTCTCACTGTCAAGGTCAGCTTGCCCAAGCACATAGAGCCGCTTCCAAAACAGGGTGCAGGAAAATACTTTCTGCTGCAGCTGCATACAGCAGAAGCATGTCGCACAAGCGCTTTGATTGCGTGGATTATATGGCTAGTACCAGTACTATCACTATTGCTGTCACTAACGCTAGGTCTATTATATTACTATTGCTGTTTCTATTAATGTGCCCTGCAGCCTCGGCACTGTCTGGTCCTTCTTGAGGACAGGGGGCTTGTGCCCGTCTGCATGGACAATGACCTCCCTGAAATCACGGTGAATGAAAAGTGGAAGCTCCTCGTACTCCATGAACCTGGTAGTCAAACTCCATGGCAACTACATGATCATTCTAAGCAGTTCAGAAGAAAAAAACTCCAAAACTCCCGGTACCCTAAGCACCAGCACAATAAAACCCCAGTCGAGTGCAGACTCGCAGCGGATGGTTCTCATCAGAATTTGCCCAGCTGCAGATGGTGGGTATTTGCAAGGGAGCCTTGATGCGGTCCTTGCCCATGGGGGACAAGTGCTTCGGAGCCGTTGTGGTAAAGAGGATGAGAAAGCGGAAGGCATCCTCCGTGGAGCAGCTTTGTGGCAAATGTTCCCCTGTTCCTAAGAAGTTTCGGGGCCAAACTGAAGACTGACAAATCAACCTTTCTGATTCCAGTCCTGTAGATCGGGATCTCCTTCTGTAGCAAGGCCAGCCACATGAACCAGGAATTCGCCTCCCATGTCGAAACCCATCGCACCATCGAAGGGGCCATTCCTGTGTGGGAACAGATGTCTAAGCAGGCTGAAAGGTCATGGTCCGGCTATGGCTTCAAGGCGAGGCGGGCATTGGGCAGCAAAGCGTCTCTCGAATAAATTTCTTGAACTCGGCCAAGGTCTTGTCAAAACCATCCCAAGTTTCCCACTGGCAGTTTGCAAAGGGAAGGCGCTCAAAGTAAACGGTGAAGTTGGGTCCGAAGGGCTTCAAGGAAAAGTCCCCGTTCCAGCCCAAGGGTACAGTGTGTGGGCCCGTCCAGATGGTCCATTCCAGCTGCTTCTTGCAAGGCATCTCCTTGAATGTGCTGTTGAGCTGCATCTGGGCTACAGTCTTGCTAACGCCGCCGCCGTGCAAGCAGAGCATCTTCATTTTCTTATCCTTTCCGAAGCAGCGGCCCTTGGGAGCTGGGAAAGGCTTGCTCGTAGGCACAGCCTGGCAGCTTGGGCGAAAAAAGCCGGGCTGAGCTGAGCATGGTCAGATCAAATGATTGAATCCAAGCAACGTCCTGGTTAGGCAGAGGCTCTGGATCCAAAGGCTTACCACCCAGGGCAGAAGTAGGCTGAATGAGATCTTTGCCAGCAACCTGCCAGCATATTTCCCGAGACTCCAGCTTTGATTAAAGCGTCAGAACTGCTCAGCACTGCTCGGGCCTTCAGGCTGACCCAGCCTTCACAAGGGCCTGTGCCTTTGAGCAAGCAATATCTGAGCCGTTCGCCAGAACGTTCTAACTCGCCAAGGATTGCACCAGTGGACCTGGGAACACTGCCCAGCTTTTCGTGCCCGACTCCTGCCTCACTCTCCCCTTGTAGTAGGGCAAGCTTGTTTTGCGGTATGCCTCTCTTGCGGCACTATTACATGCTAGACTGCCAGACCATACCAGAGCATTGAACCCCACAAGACCACTACACAGTTTAAAGGTTCAGAGTTCAGGTCAGTTCAGGTGAGTTCAGGCTGACGATGTGCGGTCAGTCGCCAGCATCTGTAGCTGCAAAACCAAAGTGCCATGAAGAACAAGGCGTCCAGAGTTCAACTTTGCCTAGCTTCTGTTACTCTCGAGCACTTCCACAGCTGCTGTGGGCTTTGACAATTGCCTGCCGGACTGCCCAACTCACCATCTGCCAGGTTGTGTTTCTCATAAGGCCTAGGAACAATCGTTGCGGGAGCTCTGGAGACTTGAGGCTCAGCCGCTCTCGCACCAAAATGCCTCCTTTGTCCAGTCCGCCAACCACCTCCCAGTAAGAAGCCATGAGTGCATTCGCTTTGGCTATTGCGTGCGTTCTACATGCAGAAAGTGTATATCCGATTGCTAAACACACTGCTTGCCATGCTCTGCACTTTCTGCTTGAGCCCTATCAGCGGCGGGCGGACTTGGTGGGATCTTCTCAGATTCCAAGATGAACAGCTTCCAGGCACAACGGGATTTTGCAGGGATTTCGGATCGGCCTTCCTCGCGTCCCGTTTGGGAGGTCTCCGGAAGGCATCCATCAGGCTGGGCAGGCTGCGCTCAGAAAGCTGAAAAAGGGTGAGGTTGATGGTGCTGTCAGTGTAGCTGCCGAGCTCAGCATGAGCGCAGCCCCACCAGCTACTACGTGACGATGTGCAACGACAGCTGTTTAGCTGCTGCACAGCATGAGGCCAGAAGGGAAAATGTGACTGCCGGGAAAAAGGCACCCAAGGGCACCAGCAGCTAGCACTCAGTTGGGTCAGCAAAAGAATAATATTGTTCCCTGTCGTAGCCCATCTTGGCCAGAGTTGAGCACATGATCTTCTCAAAGATGGGCGGACCTCGAGCAGCCGAAAGCATGGCTGGAGTGTAGAGACACGCATCAGCTAAACACTCTGAGATTCACAACCTCTGAAAAGGAAAGCAAGACAACAACCGAGGCATGGGCCGCACATGACGCAAACGTGATCCTCAGAAGCGGGGAACCAGAGGCGCTGACGGATGACTTCTGCGTCCACGAAGCCCACGCCCATGGTCCAACCACGAGGCGGCTTGTTCAAGACCAGGTAGTACTTGATATGCTGGGGGAAGCGCTCTTTGAGGCCCTCCAGGGCTGAGACGAAGGCTAGGTCCCCATGGCTCTCCGCGGCATAAACAATTCGCACTCCGCTCGTCTTGGGGTCCGGAAGCTCCCCTAAGGCGTCCACCGCCTTCACCCAACTCCGCACGATCTGGACCGCAGGGGCCAGGCCAGTGCCCCCGCAGAGCAGGCTTAGCTTGCGGATGTCACGGTTGAGGTACGTGAACAGTGCATCCCCACATCCTCCTGGCTTCAGCTTCACACCCCCCATGCCGGCCATCATGCAGCTGGAGCCCGGCTGCAAGGAGGTCAGCAAGCCTACGATGGGGCCACCCTTGTCGTCTGTCCGGCAAAGGATGTCGATCACGCCCGAGTCCTGCACAGAGTGCGCAGATGAAAGGTTTACTCCTGCTAGAGGGTGAGATGGCGACAGGATGCGACAGGTGCTATGGAGTGACACCCGGTCGTGGACAAGTGCAAAATTGCACACTTTTGGCATCACGCTCTGACACTCCATGGGAAAAACGAATTTGACATGAAGCAAACCAGGAAGTCTCCTCTGGCCGCGAGATAGGGCTGTAGAAGCCAGTCACCTAAGCCGCCGAACATTGCGCCATTGTGCATGCTCTAGTACAGACAAGGTACACGCCCCGGAAGCGCACCAAGATGCCTTCAGCTGAATTCAGTTGAGCCCAGCGGCAGTATCACCGTCGACCTCGCCCTGGATGCCGACGTACCTTCCCACTTCCAGGCCGGTCGTCTGCATGGATCCGTGGAGCTCGAAACGATAAACGGCTGTGTTGTGGCCATACTTCTCATCTGTGTCCCGGATTTCTCGCAGCTTCACTGGGAGCCAGGCGCCCTTGGTCAACATTCCTGGCTCTTTCTGATTGACGGCTGCCGCCTTCTCCCCAGCGATCCGCCCGAAGACCACACATTCCAACAAGGAGTTCCCCCCTAAGCGATTGCCACCGTGCACGCCACCCGTACACTCGCCCGCCGCAAAGAGCCTGTGTATCTTGGAGCGCTTACCTAAAGCACCATCCTTGCGGGTGAGGACCTCGCCGGCGGGAGAAATCTCAAGTCCGCCCATGCAGTAGTGGATGCAGGGGGTGATCCGTGCTACTACGAAGCTGGTGTCGGACTCTGTGAGCTTGGACGGGAAGACTGTCTTCCCTGTGTTTTTGCAAATCTTGGTGTCGCAAGCACTGCTGTAGGTCTTCAGCGTCTCAATGATCGTCTCCTCTGGGCATCCCAAAAGCTCCGCCAAACCCTGTGTGCCATTCTGCGTCTCCTCGAAGAGGCCCTGCGACCGGTAGAAGTTGAGCATAGGCAAACCAAACTTCTCCTGTGCCTCCTTGTTTAAGACGCACCAGCTCCAGGGTCTTCCTTTCTCGGTACTGCCTTCTACTTTGTAATCCTCGCAGTGCTCCAGGATTGCCTGGCTCACCACACTCCGCAAATCCAACTCGTTTACAAAGCGGCGTCCCTGCTGGTCCAGCAAGATGCCCCCGCTTCCGCGTAGGGCCTCAGGGCCCAGGTACTTGGTGTGTGCCAAGGGGTCCTTGGGATCAATCAAGGCCGTCGGGTGAAGTTGGACCTGGCAGGGAGCAGAAAAGCTGTCTGCAGTTTGGGCTAGTGTTCCCACCCGAGCTCAGCTTGTTTCGGCGCGGCTTCAGGCTATCGACTCTGGACATTGCTCAACGAAGATGTTCAAAGACATCCTCTTTTGGGGATGCCTCTTTTCAAACACTGCCCATCCCCGCCGGTCAGCCGGCAACCGCCATTTCTGAACCGGATTTCTCTCTTCCTGTTTGACAAAACGTTGCTGAATGTTGCTGATGCGTTGAGCACATGATTCTCGTTTTTTGGAATTCTTGAAAAGGCCGGGAAGGCCCTTGGCAGCATGTTGTGAAAAGTATCTTGACAAACAAGAAGAACCATGAAGAACCATGAAGGCCTTCTGGAGCTCTTCGAGGCATGTCTTGGGGCGGCATCTCGGGGAGTTGCTTCGTACTGAAATTGTGCATGCGCAACTTCCACACTTGCCGGTCTTGACTCAGACCCTGCCCTTGCACGGGCAGCTGCGCCGCGCACGGCCATTGAGGGCAAAGAGCGGAAGCGTTTTTTCCTAGGCGTGGCTGTAAGGATTTCCTATAAGCCGGCGGCTGTAAGGATTCCCTACAGCCACGCCGAGGAAAAAACAAAAGTCCGGGGGCCCGGAGGCGTATTTTTTTCCTAGGCGCGGCTGAAAGGATTCCCCACAGCCACGGCAAGGGAAAAAAAAACGTCGGGGGCCCGGAGGCGCATTTTTTTTCCTAGGCGAGGCTGTAAATGAATTTGACTAGCCACGGCTGGAAGGATGAAGAGAATTCCGAGGACGCTCCACGCGCAAGCGCTCCTACACACCGAAAACAACGAAAAGCTCACCACTTACAGCTAGAATTTCGAGGACGCTCCACGCGCCAGCGTCACGACGCGCCGGAAACAGCCAGAGAGTCGCCACTTACGTCCAGAGTTTCGAGGACGGTCCACGCGCCAGCGTCACGACGCGCGGAATACAACGAGAGGGTTGCCACTTACGTCCAGCATTTCGACGACGCTCCATGCGCCAGCGTCACGACGCGTCGGCCGACCGACAGCCCGTCTCCCTTCTAAACAAAAGGAAAGCCACGCCTAGGAAAAAAAAAGGGGCCCGGAGGCAAAGGCAGGGACATAAACACCCCGCCTCAACACTATGCTGCTCATGCCTCCAGCACTAGCTTGTTCATAGCTTTGTCATATGTTTCCACTTTCTCTCTGCAGGCTCTGCAGGTACTCTTTGGAACTCTCGAAAATTGGCAAAGCCGCACAGCCCTTGCGGTCCAAGGCTGAGCAAGAAAGGGATATGTCGCCACTCCGGACATGGCAAACTCAGGCATATCAAGCCGAACAAGGGATGACAAAAAACACAAGTCTAAGAAACTTTTCTTTGAGCACACTCAACAGCCAACGCACGCTCTAGCCTTGTCCATGTCGATGAGGCTGGCGCCAACCTCAGCCCCCAATTTCATGCCGTCGCCGTTGGCAAACGAGCCGTTGGTCGTCGGGACCCCGACAAGGTCAGGCCGGTATTGCTGCATGAGACCTCCCTCACTCTTGTCGAAGCCAAAGCCACCAGTGGTCAGGATCACCGCATCGCAGGGAAGCGAGTGACGCTCACCCTGCGCATCCTCATATTCCACGCCGTAGACTTCTGTGCTGCCATCCTCGCAGGTTCTTTGCAAGAGCTGCCTTGGATCAGGCAAGCTCTACGACGTTGAGACAATCAAGCAGGCTGTCGGCCAAGCGGCTTCATTGCGCACTGCGTTTTGACATCGATGCCAGGGAGGGCGTTTGCGGCAGCCCGGGCATGCTGCATGATGGTGTATCCCACTGGCACAGGGGTGCCATCAGCCTTCGGCGGGCAGCGGTGAGTCCGCTTCTTGGCATGGCCTCCCGGGAAGCTCATCATGCCGGCTCAGGGTTCAGAACGAAATTTGTTCTGCAATCCCAAACCGTTACCGTCACTGTTCCTTGCAGTCTGGATATCTCTGCTTTCATTGAATCACTGCATGCCTTTAGCTTTGACGATCATCTTGCATGAAAAGCATGAAACGCTTGCAATGGCCTGCATCTGGAGTACCACTCTCATTTCAAATGCTGCTGCTCTGATGCTTGCAGACTCAGAGATTGGGGAACTACGTGAAAACAGTCACGCCCTGCTTGGGTGGGCCGCGCCTCCGAGTTGTGAAAGCTGCGTCAAAGGCACTCCCAGCTCATCAATTAACCAGTGGATGGCTTCTGCACTCTTTGAGCAGAGCATGGATACACAGCCTCAGATCTGTCAGCCTGCCCAGTACTACTGTATGCTTCTTCTGGCACCCTCGGCAACAAGAGAAGGAAGTTTGGATCTGTCAATACGACTCGTTGCTTTCCCAGCAGATAAAACACATTCGTTCCTTCTGATACAGGGGTAGTGAGTAGTAGTAGCAGTAGCAGTAGCAGTAGCAGTAGCAGTAGCAGTAGCAGTAGCCGTAGCAATAGCAATAGCAGTAGCAATAGTCGTAGCGGTAATGGTAGTGGTAGTGGTCGTTGTCGTGGTAGTTGTAGTCGCACTGGTAGTGGTGGTGGTAGGAGTAGCAGTGGTAGTAGCAGTCGCAGTCGCAGTTGCAGTCGCAGTAGCAGCAGCTGCTGCTCAAGTAATACTACTAGTAGTACTACTAGTAGTAGTAGTAGTAGAAGAAGTCGAAGTAACAGCAGCACTAGTAGCAGTAGCAGCAGTTGCGGGGGCAGCAGCAGCAGCAGAAGCAGTAGAGTAGCGGATCAACACCTTAAAAATCCTAAAATGATTTGGGGTCCGTGTCCCGACCCAACTTCCGTAGAAACGACATGTGTCTTTCCAAAGCTTGCACCCTCTGAACAGGTCAGGCTGTCGAAGAACCCATTAAAGTGTACCCATCGTCAGCTAGACCTCCAAAAATGTGCATGAGCTGTGTTGTTTCCTCTTCGGTGGTCTCCGATTAATAAACCCAAGTCCTGAACCCTAAAACTAAACAACCCCAAGCTCTAAACCCTAAAATCCTAAAACAAGCCCAATCCTGAAACTTTAACAACCCAAACCTGCTACTTATGAATGCTGCTGCAGCTGTTGTTGCTGCTGCTGCTGCTGCTGCTGCTGCTGGCTGCGGCTGGTGGCTACTTCTGGCTGCAGCGGCTGCGGCTGCGGCTGCGATTGTCAGCCTTTGTTGTTTGAGGTGGGTATTTGGGTGCATAGGCATTTTGCATACGGCTCAAACTGTTCTGGCCTCTGCTCTGAACAAGGCTTAACTCAGTGGCTTTCTGCAATCGGTCCAACGTGATGTGCGCATTCAAGACGCGCCGCAAGCTAGGCATGACAACTTAGACTTATGACCTACCAGAGCACTACAGTAGCTTGCCACTCAGGCTCATGCACCGAAGGGATCGCGCTGTTTGACACGTGCGCAGCCTACAAAAGCATGATCAACAAAGGGTCTGCAGGCCAGGCAACCCACGTCACTGGTACCCCCCTTCGCAGAAACAAAGGTGTCCCGCTCCAGGTATCGGCAGTCATCAGAGACGCCACTGGCCTTCTGGACGCGAGTGCCACAGGCATTGATGCCAGACGTTGCCTTAGCGGAGTTGCCGCCCAGGTCTTTTTCCTTCTCAAGCAAGGTGACCCTGGCTTTGGCCTTCACCGCCTCCACTGCAGCACTGACGCCGGCAAGGCCACCCCCCACAATGACCACGTGCGCCTCCTCATGGCCCTCGTGCCGCAGCTCTTGGTGAGCCTTCTCCTCCGCACCTGGGTTCTTCAGCCGCACTACGCGGGGTCCCAGACGTGAATAAAGCAGGTAATCCAGGACCGGGTCCTTCAACTCGGCTCCCCGGAAGTTGTCCAACAATTGCCGAGCGTCCTTGATGGAGCCCACTGCCATGGAAGCTGTGGCTAAGGCATCTGCAAGCATGCATGAGCTAGTGACCACGGAGGAGCTGGCTACGGACTCCGCGGTGATCGACATCGGCGACCCTTTCCGGGCATCCAGGATGTGGGAAACGCCTGTTCTCAACGCCTGCAGGTAGTCGCCCGATGTAGCAATTGCTTGGCCGCAGCGTAGCTCTACGTGCGCCAAGTGATCTTTCGGTACTTGGCCTGCTTGAACCTCGAGCGCATCCAGTGGGTGCGGCTCCAAGACAGCAGCAGTCCAATTCCGTCCCGCGGGGTGCTGACCAGTGACTTTGATGTCTCCACCCCAGTCCACATAACTAGCTGGGAAGCCTGCATCGGTCAACTTCTTCGCCATCTCATCAATGGCCCAACCCTTCGCCAAGCCGCACAGGTCCATCATGGCCCCAGCGTGCTTCTTTGTTATCGCCGAATCCGTGATCTCGAACGAGGACCACTTGCTGTAACTCACAAGCTCTTCTGATGGTGGTGCTGTGTTCCTTTTGTAGTGTTGTGCCAGAGGCAGAACAGCTGGGTCGAAGGCCCCCCTCGTCATGCGATTAATTGTGCTTGCAACGGAGAGGACCTCCTTCATGGCTGGAGAAGGCTGATGCGGCGTGTTGGCCGGGAGATTGTTGATGGATGTGACCTGACAAAAGCAAAGTGCGCTACCACCACCGCAACACGGCAATCGCCCTTCTGTGCCTCGCTGTCGTCGATGAAGTGGCTGAAAGTCTTCTCGGCTTCCTTTGCCTTGGCATTGCTATACATCGTCTATCTCACCTTCCACCTTGCTTAAAACGTTCTTGGGGCGCCTCTTCTTGTTTTTCGTCTTGCACCCTCTTGCCTGGCTTGGGAAATGCAAGCCAAGCTCCATGTAGCACAAACTCTCCCAAAGGTTTCCTTCGCATCTGCGGGCTCGAAAGCCAAGGAGTGAGGGCAAAACGATAACGTTCAACGAACTTAGTACAGCAAGCGGAGTGTAAGCCTCTACGTAAGGCAAGCTTTTGTTCCCAGCTGTCTGCTAGCTCTATCTAGCTCTAGCCCGTGGATCCCAAATCAAGCTCAAAGTAACAGCATGCAGCCCAAAGCAACCACATGCTGAACCTCTGGTTGGTGCGCCTGCAAGCTTGTTAGCATGGGCTGCATTCAATTTCGGGCTTGCGAGGTAAGACAGCGTTTGCCAGAAAGCCGGCTGCAAAATCATTCGATGCAAGACATGTTATGAAGCAAAATCGGAGCTGAGTGCTGCGAAACCTTGCGCATGTCATTGTATGACACGTGTGCAACTCAGGCTGACGCCACATCATCAAGGATCTTCTGCGCAAGGGCCATCCCCGACTCCCCTTCTGTCCCTGACCCAGCAACGATAGTCACCTTGTAAGGCACCGCGCACCAGACACCTTCGAGAACGAAGAGCTTGCCCTGGGCCTTCCATTCTGTCACCACGGCTTCATCCTCTGGTGAAGGCCCTGAAGACGGCTTCTTCCATGCACCTCCCACCACCTGGCTTGCGGAGGCTGCACCATCTGCTTTGGGAGCTGGAGGGGCTGCGGGGGCAGCCGCGGGACCAGCCACGGGAGCAGCTGCAGCTGGGGCCGGAGATGCTGGAGCCGCCGGAGCTGGCGGAGACGCAGCCTGCTCAGCAGGTGCGCGTGCCGCCGCAGCTTTTGCTGTTGACCCACCGGAGCCCATCTTGGGTGCACTACAGGCAACCAGGGCCTTCTAAAGCCAAAATCTGCAAGAAGCGCGCGCGACCTTTGCTAAAGAGCCTACGCCATCGCGGCTCGTGTCAGCACAGCCCACAACGAAGTTGTTGAGGATGACAAGTGCTTTGGAATACATTAGACTTACTTCTCAGCCACTGAGCTGCGAGACTGTGATGGCCAACGAGCTTTCGAACAATGCTAGCAGACTTTTGGGCTTAGTCGTTATTGGGGAAGCTGCATCTTTAAAAACCGTCCTTAGACATCAACCGCGGCCTCCTAAGCAGGCTAGACTCATCCATGCTCTTCAGTGTAGCAGTGTAGCAATGCAAGACAGCCACAGCTAACAAAACGCAGGCAGCGCATCGCAATGCTCTTTTGCGGTGTTCCTGCCAGCCTTTCCCATTCACTTTGGCTTCTCAACCTGCCTCCGACCTCAGAAAACCCTGCACAGCTAGGTCTCTTCCACGGAACCGCAAATTTTGTGCTCCCGGCAAAACAGCCGTCGCGCTTGCGCCAGTACGAGCAGCACGAGGGCCACGAGGCTTCGCACCCAGCGGAGCGTTTCAAAGAACAAGAAGAGAAGCACAAAGAAGAGCAGTGAAGGGGACACCCCAAGAAGGCCTCAGATGAAGCAAAGCACAGCACAGGAAATGAAGACATGTGCATCCCTGCATGCTGAGAGATCGAGGCTGGCCCGGTGCCGCGGATACCTGAGTCCACAGGACAAGGACACGGCGGCTGGCGTCCTCAAAAGACCTGCGCAAGCTGCACGAGTTGAAAGGTTTCTTGGCAGCGAGCCGGTCCAAGAAGGTTTCCAAGGCATCCTGGCGCCCCGCTTATGCGGGTGTGGCTTAAATTACGCGTGTGGGGCTAACGGCCTGCAGAGAGCTGTCGGCGCGCTGCCTGAGCTGCTCTGCCAGTTCCTCGCACTGTCGTTGTCCGAGGAAACGCAAAATCCTTGAACCGGCTCGGATGGCTCGGTTTGAGGTTTCCAAGGTCCTGGGCAGCCTGGAGGCCGCCCAGCAAGGGCTGAGTCACCTGCGCTGCATCCAAGCTTGCCGCACCCATTGCCTTGGGAACCTCGGCAATCGGCAGGAGCCTCGGGAGGAAGGTTCTCGTAGAGCTCTACGCACTTCCTCATAAGCCATCCGGACTTCACGGCGTTCACTCATATGAAACAAGCTCCTTCGCAGAGCTGCAAACACCTCAGCATTGCAAATCTGCAACATGCCGTGTGCTGGGCTCTGGATTTTCTGAGCTGTGAGCCGGCTGCCAGGGCTCAAGCCAGTGCTCGAGCCTCTTGCGACTTTGGAACTTAAAGCAGGAGGACACGTAGAGTCCAGGCCGGCCTCTGCGAGGCCTCTTGTAGCTGCAGCGAGGCGTTCCTCATTGGCTTTCCTAATCTTCCCAGAACTATTCGAAAGAGGGTGTCGTTGGGCTCCTGGCACCGATGGTCCAAGAAGCCTCGGGGAAGGGCGTGGCTCTGAGAGGGGGCCTTCCCTCTGCTTTTGGGCTACCAGGCAATGCAGAGCCTTCCTCAAGGGTATGCACACCCAGGTCCTGAAACGAAATCCCAACTTCGCGCTAACACATCGATGGTGCTCCTTCCCTTCGGCTTCGTTGCCCTAGCTTCTTACAATCCTCTCCACGCTCCGCTCCCCCTTCCCTCTCCTGCAGAAGTACCAATATGCTCCCGAAAGGATCTGGTCCTCCACCTACCGATTCCAGCACCTGCGCGTAAGCTATGTTGGCTGCTACTTTCAAGCTGCACAGGGCGAAGACGCATCTGCGGACCTCGATGCGGGTCCGCAGCTCTGCACCTATTCGGCTGTCTGCAGCACGCCCTTCAGAGGCACTGGGGATTTCTCGGGCACAAACAGCTGTCGTCCAGCGACCTTGCAAGGGGCAGTCGCCAGAAGGAGAACGCACTGCGGAGATGCGCAGAGCAATCCTATCGTGGCACCTCTGCTCCGGCCGGTGCAAGGCGCACCTTTTCGCGGACAGGTGCACTGCACATGTTGTTGTGCAGGATGCAGCCACAGCACCAGGTGGCAAAGGATGCAGAAAGCGCGGAGAGGACCGATAGAGGCCTAGAAGCAACAGAAGCAGAAGCATCAGCAGATTTCGGCTGCGCTGATCTTACTTGATGAAAAGCTTCCAGAGCTTGCTGTCTCCATGGCCCTGGCAACCGCATTGCATGGCCGAGGTGGGTGCCACGTGACTCAGAACCCCAGAGCCACCAGCTGCCATGACTGAAGGAGGTGAAGGTGCGGACACGCATGTACTCTGTCCTGCAGCCTTTCCTAATTCTGCTCCTGGTTCCAAACGTTTTCCCCCCTGCGAACTTCTCGGGTTTCTAGGGTGAAACGACGGCGCCTTCGCAGAGTCTCTTCTGGACATATCTGGACCTTCCGCATCGGGAGCCAGCTGTACAGCTAATTACGGTTCCTTCAAGGAATGGCGGCATGCCTAGACTCCCGCGGGAGAGCGGCATAACACTCAGCCCTGCAAACCTCAGAGCACTTGCCCTTGCAGGCTCATTCATAAATACGGGTGTAGATCACAATGAACTCAGCGTACACGGCCTGAGCCAGGATGTGGCAGCTTTTCAGATAATCCATGGTCAGCCAGGTGTCTCGTGTTACTGGCTATCCGGCTATCCGGGCCTCCTCGTTGAAGAAGACCATCTCGCGGAAGGTCCCCGCGGCAGCCAGGCGATCCCCACACACCTCCAACAGAATTTCTATGACTATGAATTCGTCATTGGCCATGCAAGCCGACATATGAAGACTCTGACACACATTGACCAACTTGAAATTGGAGTTGAAACCTAATTAATGCCTAGTGCGACATATGGCTCAGATCTTTCTCAAAGAGCACGCTTTAGGCATTGTTGCTGCATGTTGCCTGCACTACTGCACGGGACACTGCGCTGAGCAGCCAGTTCTGTATGCTGCGTCCCGCTTCAGGAAAGCACATGTTGCACACTGAGAGAGTGGCGGAGTCGTAGCCGCCCGCTCGTACCTTCTCCTTGGCACCACTCTGCCCAGCACCATAATCTGGACACCTTCACACTCTAGTCCGTGCACCTGCATATCGCCCGCCTCCGACCTGATGACAGGGCACAGGCTCCTATGCGACAAGGCCGCCTTTTCAATGTCTCTGGGCTCCCCGACACTGTTAGGACTTCTCCCATTGCACCCCGGCAGAGGAGCATGGCACAAAGACCCAAGTACACCCCAGCACCTTCAAAAGACCAGCAGAATCCAGTCTCCCAGTGATCGATTGTTGCTGGTCACAGCCTGCCTTCCTTGGCATACTCATCGCTCTTGCTGGCCTCGGACTCCAACAGCATTCACGCCACTTACAACTTCCTGTCACAGGATACCGGCATTCTCGGCGAGGTAGATGCCTGTGCCCCACAAACCATGCATGTGGGTGCGAACGCCCAAACCACCCTGGGGCCTCGCCCAAACATGCTGCCCGCACAGCTTCCCGCACGATCTATCTTGAAGAGATCCCGTGCGATAGACTGAGCTGACTCTGGGTTGGTGCCATGGAAGAGGTAGCCTTGGGAAGACGAATGGTAACAACAAAAAACAGCTTTGAGCTGGCGCCCGACGCTCGTTGACATCGTCATCCAACAGGTTGATCCTGCGGGACGGGTCAAGTGCGCCGCCCTCGCAACCTGTCACAACCTGTCGCAACCTGGGCTCCTGGCCTGTCGCTGGTCTGAGTACGGAAGGGCATGCAAGGGCCGGGCCGCTTCACGCGGAGACCGTCCTGCGGCTTGCATGACGTCCTTCTCAAGTTGCCAAAGCTTCATAGCAGTTAGGCTTTAAGCGTCTCAGACTGGATCGCGGAGTATGTGCATTTGATTCTTCATAGGGAGCTTGAACGCAGGCAAAGCTCTGCAGACCCGGTTCAATGCTGCTGCATGTCGTATACCTTTCTCTGCAGACATACCAGGTTTACTTCTGCAAGCCAGCTTGCATGCCTGCAAGCGCGATGTAACATGCGGCATGGCCCTTTCAGGAGCCGGGCCGCATTTGAAACGACGCAAAAGGTTTCTCATGCAAAGACCTCCTCATACCCTTAACTCTCACCACTGCCGCCCGAGGCTGTTTGGATATATTTGGAGGCCAAAGTCGCACGGTGCCGGGCTGCATCGTGAGCTCATGCGTTTGAATCAAAAGCGAGCTAACGCGAGATTTTCAATCTAGAACATTTGAGATGCAGGGCAAACTTGCCACAGGCAAACAGTTGACTGGCTGCGGAATCCAGGCAAGCAGTGACCAGCATACCGGAATCCTTTTTTTTGTGGCACTAAACTAGAGACCTTACAATTCCACGCATACCCAAGCCATCTACACACATACGTGGCGACACTGTTGTAGCGATGTCTGGCTGCCTATCAGTCACGAGTGCGAATCATCCGCCAGAATGGGCACAGATGTCAGAGCTTCGCGCAAGGCACGAACAAGAGCTTGAGGATGCCGTCGAGTGACTTTACGGCGCATGTACGTGGGGGAACCTGTGCTTACATTTTCTGCTTGCGGTTCTTGGACGAAGAATGTCCGAGCAAGTCCAGAAGAGCCGTTCCTTGATAACGCTTCAAATCCTGAATGCCTCCTGACATTCCAGCAACACAAGCCAGCAAAACTGGAAGCACTCTGTGGTACAGGACTTTTTTCCAAAGCCCGGGCACCTTGTAGTTCATGTACCTTGTGTATGCCCGGTGGTTCTCCACCCTCAACACGTTCCTCAACAAGTTGGCATCGGTTCAGATTGGTCCATGTCCATGCAAGTTGATCCAAGGGCACTGCGCTACGCGACAGCCCAGCGGTACTCGCTCAGCACCCCCCACCAACCAGCGGTCCTCACAGGTGAAGCTGTGCGGTCTTGGCACTGGGGAATACAAGGCGCGCGCCCTCGTGAATCGGGTGCGCCATGTGTCTGTCATCAGCTGCTGTACCTGCCCGCCCTTCATATGAGCTACAGTCAATAGTTTCTGCACAGTTTAATGGACATGGGCTTCTTATTAGGGACTATACTGAACTACAAGAGGGACCCCTATGTCCAATGTTAAGGTAAGGGCCCCTTAGTAAGGCTAATATTGACAGTAGCTCCTCTGTTTTTCTCTCGCGGGATAGATTTTATGTGCCTCTGCGATGCGGTTCGGGTCAGGGAAGATGTGGACACCATCCCTGCAGGGATTGAACATCAGAATGCTGGAGTGACACTGCCAAGAGGTGCAGGTGCCTGGTTGCCCAGTACGGTGGCAGAGTGAGCTGGTCAATGACCTGCATGGGTGGAACAACAGTCATTCCTGAGTCACCTCAAAGCTGCATCTCAGGCGGAAACAACTTCGAAGCCATCCTCTGTCCTGACGGATACTCAGTTACAAGTACTAGTGGCATCAAAATGGAAGTTTTATGTTTAGCGTCCTGGCCCGGTGACTCGAGTCCGCTGTGGGCGCTGAGGCGGCAGAGCGCGCAGAGCGGCCAGAGAAGGATCCAGCCTAGAGACGGCAGCATGGCTCAGCAGGCTGCAAGCTCGCACGGTGTCGCTCGAGGAAGAGAGCACCGGAAGCATGCCTTGGGGAGGCCCAGCGCACACGAGGAGGGCACCTTGGATTTCTTTAACCTCCTGCTCGTGAGCTTGCTTCTCTTCAAAGGCCATGGCCACCGGTACGGGTATGTCACCCACTGCTGCAGCTACCGCAGCCGCCATCGCCCTGCAATTCCACGGCATCTTGGGAAATTCAAGGAGAGTGCGTCTCATCCCATGTCCTCCTCTTCAAGAAGCGATGCCGCAAAAGCCCGGTGGTGAACACAAGCAACCTGATAAAATGCTAGGGCCATGCATGTGTACACATGTGTACACTCAATTCCAAGTGATGTTCTCAGAACCGTCTCGGATGCAAGTGTGCTGAAGTACCAACAACACAGCCAGCACGGGACAAACACTGGGATGGCCAGACTCCTTGAACTCCAGGGGCCAGGCAAGACCGCGGCGGTGAGTGCTGCAGCCATGGCTGCGACCGGCAGCTCCGAGCGCAGGCCCTGCACAAGGCAAATTGATGCAGAGCGCAGCATTAGGCTCAGGGTGGCCATCCAGGGCCTCGCTCTGCTCGGCAGCAGGTGTTGGAAGTGGAACGGGGGTCGGGCGGATGCGGCATCCACACTCGGATTCTTCAGATCCCTCGCAGGCCCTGCTGAGGTTGCCTCACGCCAGGGACTCAAGTCAGAGAGACACCCCGCTTACTCTGGGGCTCCGGACCATCCAGGCATAAGTACGGCACCCGCCCGGCATAGCCTCCGTTGAACATGCTGAAGTCTTTTTCGGATTTCCAGCTGGTCGGCGGTCAAACACAGCTTCTTGGGCTGGGCCTCAGTATCCTAAAAGTCGCTCCAATCAAGAGGCCGGACCAGTCAAGATGCACTTTGCTGGAGTGGAAAAGGACGGGCCCCAAGCCTGAAGGGATATTTTGAATTTGGAGGTAGAGGACACTTCTACAAACTTGATTTCTCGCTGTAAACAAAGACCAAGATAACAACAATCTTCCCGAAACACTCGCCTCAGGCCCTGAAGTGTTTGAGGACAATTGTCATGCAAAGGCATGTTGCCGACATTAGAAGCCAGCTGACCGTGCTCAGCATGACCTGCCAGACTAGAATCTCTAGTCTTTGAACACCCTTACCAAATACCGTGGTTGGGGACTCAGCATCCACCACACGCAGGCCTCATTGCCTGTTCCGACACAAGCCATTTTGGCTGTAGGCCAGTGCAAGATTGAGGCAATGCATGTGCTGTATCTGAACATACTACGACGACGTGTAGACCATATGCGGTGGTGAGACAGTTACTGCATGCACCTGCCAATTGCAAGATCTAGTTGAAAGCTGCAACAAAAAATGCCGCACCGTCAGGGCACGCCAGGCGGAGGAGCTCGCCATCAACCAACTCGCCATGCCTGCAGGTAAGACTCTCTGTCGCCACCAAGAACTCCAGGCTTCCGTGCTGAGTTCACCACGAGAGCAGGAGCTCGGAGCCTCCTGAAACCTCGGACACCTCAAGGCATGGTGCAATACGTCCGTAGTGGGATCGCGGTATCCAGAACTCGCCGAGAACCTGGCAACGCCTTCCGTGCAGCCTTGATGCAGTTCAGAATTTGGGGCAGTGTCTCTGCGGGACGAAGCTTTGGCCAGGGTCCTCTTCGACAGCTGCCTTGGTCCAACTCCACTTCGCCCTTCCGGCATACGATGCTCAAGAACCTCAAATACAAAAGTGGACAGGGAGGAGCAGGCAGGGGTGACATCTGCAGGACCTCAAGACCAGGCTTCCTGCCCTGAGAAACCCTCTGGGCAGGCCTAGTTCCAAAAAGGAAGTCACATCAGCTTGCACAATCCGTTTGAGGCTTGCACGCGTCACTGCCAATGGAAACCAAACATGCTAGATACCTCGCTTGGCTTGGGAGCTGGCTAAGAGCAGCTGTTCCTTGTCTTGCAGGTTGTCGTGGGGTACCTCAGGTGGAAAAACAACAGCAGCAGGGCAGGCCCATCCCCCTCTACCTCGGCGCCGCCGGAGGTGAGCATCCCAGCCTCGGTTCCGAAACGGTGTGCGGAAAACCACATAACCTGCCTCAATAAGCCGCTGGCTGGGCAGAAGGAGGAAATCCTGACCCAGAATTGCTTTTTGTTTTTGCTGTTCCCGCCCGTTCAGGTGTCGAGCTTGTTTTTAAGAAGGTGATTGGCTGCGAACAGGCCGACTTTGAAGGACTGTTGCCCTACCTCATCTGCTTTTCGCATAAGAAGCGTGCACACTTGATTTCGTGGGGCGGGTGGGGTCAGTTTGGGAGGCTGTCGGTCTTTTGCAGGCAGGGTCAAGCTGACAGACGCAAGTCACAACCCTCAAAAACGCTCCGTGAAGACTTAGTAGATGTTTGGGCTTGTTGGATTTAGTGGAGCTAAGCTTTCATAGGCTTTCAGGTTTTGTGGGTCTAGGTGCTGCAGGGTTAGGTGACGCATGGTTCAACGATTTCAGGATTCCACAGGGCTTGCTATGTGAAAGGTTCAAGTGCTCGCTTGAGTTTGCGGTGTTTTGAGGATGCTGGATTTGGGGCTCAGCTTGACCAACAGCTTGAGGCACATCTGCAAAAACTAAATGATACCTGAGACTCTGCAAGAACATGCCGTGCACGCTTCGTCAGGTTGGCCGTTTTCGTCGAAAATGTGACAATGCTCATCCTTTCCTTCTCCCATGCACGAAATCACCGGCCTGAAAATTACGTGCTGTCCGGGGAAACGTATTGAAAGGCTCGAGGGATCGATTCTATTTGCTGTGTGTTCCTTTTGGCTGTGCATTCGCTGGGTGCTTTGTTTTCGTGTTTTTGTTCTGCATTTGTCTTCAGGGTAGGACACGTTGCCCGAAGGCAGACAAAAGAACATCAGTTTCACACATGCCTTTTTTTTTCCTGCGCGTTCGCGGGGCCTTCATGCGCTAGGAGCCCCGCGAATGCACACCAAAAAACATCGGTCCACACAGATTGCACACAGACCGCGTGTTTGTTGGCCGACAGTCCAGAGGATGACGCCGCCGACATGGCCCATCCCAGTAACTCTGGACACTTTGACTTCAAAATAGAGACTAAAAGTAGGGACTATCTACTTCCAAGCCCCAACCGAGGTTCCATATCTAGAAATGGAAATTCAAAGTAGGGACCAGCCAGCATCATCGGCTCTCAGGGCCCTTCCTGACCCCACTCCAACACTAACCAGAAACTCACTCACGCTTTTGGAAGTACAGCTCCCTTCTCTGGAGCGAGTAAAAACTAGATCCTACTGGCACGACATGGCACGACGTCCGAACAAATCTTGGGGAATCACGGGGTCCACCGGAGAGAGGGTCACCTGTGTTCACCAAAATCGTCGCCACAAAGTGGTGGGGGGGGGGGGGGGGGGGTTCAGGCGATGAGGTGGTCCAAAGGCAAGCTGCAGCCCAAGTACCAAATAGTTGGCAAGCATAAACTCCCGCGAGCTCCAAGGAGTGACAGATTGCAGCCGGCTTGTTCGAGCTATCACGTCTGTCCGTACAAAAAGATGCAAAGCCTGCCTGCATGTACTCTCGGTGATGTTGATGTAGCCACCTTGGACCCATTCGTAAAAAAAGAATCGGCTATTCTTCCTGCTTCCTTCCTAATTCTAGCATTCCTGGACCTCTGAGGCCTGGACCCTCGCAAGAGAGATACACTCCCTGCCCGGCTGACCCTCTCGGACACACCACCTCCGAGATCTGCAAATCTGCACTGGCAGCCTTCAAAGCTCCGCGACTACTCGCGCCTTTACCGTGCCACCTTCGACCATTTTACTATGGGACACCTGAGCAGAAGCAATCGTCTCATCAGGACCGCACCACCAAAGTGCACTGTGGGCAGGTGCTTTCAACGCCGCCCCTATCACTGATGACACATGATACTCTGTTCCTTGCCTCCACGGCGCCGTCATCGACCCAAAGGCTTCCGGCCGTGTCGCAGGTGGCTCGGCAGGAGAACTCTCCATGCTTTTGAACCTAAGGCTGCAAATGCAAGAATGATCAAGAATGGTCATGCTGCAAGTGAGGCTCCAGCCACCGTGCCATCTTGGCACTGAAGGAAGTACTGGCCCTGGAGATAAGACCCACAAACTTCTTAGCTATTTTGTGTCTCCGGCGAGCCTCGAAGCCATCTGGGCAGGAGGTGGCCTCCATGATACCGTGGTCCATGGCCGAGTGCTGCACCAGCGCGTGGCCCTCCATGCAGGAGTGTGAGGAAGGGTAACAAGGCCCATGTCTTTACATGCTGACAAGCTGCAAGCAGGAAGTGTCCGGCAGGGCAGCTGCGCGCCCGTCGGCAGCCAGCTGCAGGCCCCCTTCACAAGCTGACAGGCAAGCATGCATCCTGACATTAACGTTTCGTTGACCACAGCCACAGCCCACGCCCATTTTGGTGCGGCTGCCCCTCATTCTGACTCCTTTATCCAGAGGCTGATATCTCTTGAGAAATCTCTTCGCTGCACGCCCAGGGAGATCCATGTTGCTGGAACTGCTCAGGCAAAACTCACTTCTGAGGCAACGGCCCGAAAGATCCCTCCTGAAAGAAGTCAGGTGACGGGAGGGTCAGGATGGTGACTCAAGAAACGTGGTATTGCGAACTCTGGCTCTCAAGGCCTGCAGGAGGGCCCGGCCATCCTGGGAGCATGCATTCGCGCAGTGCTTGTCATTTCAGAACTGCACACCATCCTGGCAAACGAACTGCGCCGTGCCCACTAGCGGGTCGGGGCAAGTGCTCTGTAGAACCTCGTAGATATGTCAACAACGACGAACTCGTCATGATTTGATTTCTTGCACCTCGCGGTCGTCGAGGTCTGGATGATCCAAATCCTGGCAATGCGTCACCCGTGCCTTGCATCTCCTTGCACCTCAACCTCACTGGGGCTCCGGCGAAGGTGCTTCCGTCCAGCTCCAACGATGCCGAGCCTCAACTGCGAAGCAACGCATCCAACTGCTTGTGGAAGATCTAGTCATATGATTTGACGTGCCTGCGGGGCAGCGCTTGCCACAGTTCCTGGGTGCTGGAAAGATGAAGTGGAGGAGGCAGCAACAGGCCAAGGGCTCGGGCCCAGCATTCAGCGAGAACTTGTTGTTGTTGCAGGCCAAGGTAACAGTGCCATTGTAGCCTCAGCGTCTTTGAAGCGAGCAGCGAGCTCTGATTCAACGGCAGGCCACTGACTCAGGATCCAGCCATCTGGGCAAGGCACCTGAACGGAACTGCCGTGGTCAGCAGTGCCGTGCCCCACCTGTGAAGGATTGTGCAGCAAGATGCAGGTGCTTGTTTCGCAAATTTCAAACTGTTCACAGCACTGGTCTCCCATCATCGCATCTCGTCGCCTTGATTGTGCTGGTGTTCAGGCGACTTCCCACCTGGGCTCTACGGCAGTTGCTGTAGCATATGCAAGTCGCACAACAGTTGTATTGCACCCCGATGTGCCCCCATGCCCCACGATGCCCTCGCCTCCAGTATGCCAGCTGTGCATGCCAGCGTTAGGCGCTGGATGCGGCCAGCCTTGCGGTCCGTCCAGTAGATCTTCCCTGCTGGATCCACCGCTACGGCGTGCGGCCTCCCAGCTTCCCGGATCTCAATGCCATCCAATTAGGTTGCACGTAAGGCACGGGCGTGCTCATCCCAGGCTCGTTCACCAGGACCTACGGGCTCCAGGCTCTGACCATTCCATGGTTCTTAATGCTTTCCAGTCGTCCTCGGCCCCACTGCCGTCCAGATTTGTCCGAATGATGCGGCCTGTCAGCGCAAGCAGTACCAGAAACTGCCCCAAAGTCCTTACTGCCCTCCAAGCCTGCGTAGTCCGAGGGGCTTCCTGTAAGGTCTCCGGTCTTCTCAAAGTCTGTCATGTACAGCTTCCTGCATCAAGATGCTCACCTTCTCACCCACAGCAAGAGATCGTGAAATGGACTCCTGTGGGAGGCGTCGATGGCCATGCCCCATGTGTTCATGATGGCCCAGCTCATGTTCAACACCTGCACAAGGCGGCACACTGCATTGTCATGTTGCACCTGAGGCAGCGTCCTTGCCTGCGCGCCGCTGTGCCCATCCAACGGGGCCCGCTGTGTCCGGGCATGGCCAACGTCGGACCAATAGATCTGCAAAGCGAGCCACGCCACAACTCAAAATCTACAAAGCTCGAAAGCCCCCGGCCATGCGGCGGCTGGGATCCAGAGCCAGGTCCACGGGCGAGGCCAGCCCCGTCACCAGCACTTCCTCCAGAAATGCTAAAAATGCAGCACGGCAACAGAATCTAGTGGCATGGCCTCATCTCCTGGAAGGGCCCGGCGCAGGATGCGGCCATTCCTGGGCTGGCTCCAAGACGCTCCATGTGTGGGAAGTTGAGATGTCAGGGCTCAGGCATCCAGTCCGCCCAATACACAGCATCTTCGTGCACGATAACGCCGCTCGCGAACTCGGCACTTGCCACCACCTGAAAAGTAAAGCCGGGTCGAGGGTCAATAGCAGTCGGAATTGCAATCTGCTTCTCGGGGCACTTTGTAGTAGGTAGGAGGAAGAAGAGGGAGAGGAAGAGGAGAAGCTAATTCTCTGCTCTGACTGTTTTTGCGAACTGTGGGCTCGGAATTCGATTTGACAATGGGATTGCTTTCTTAGCCGTTCCGCCTCAGAAACAGAAGAGTATGTGGAAAACAGATATGAACCTTCAAGCAATGTTCTGTCTCGCCGGACGTACAGCCTCATGTGAGGGGTTGCAAGCGGCAAAGAGGCAAGGTAATTTCGCGCTGAAGCAACTTGTATCAGCCAGAAGGAATGAGAGCGAAGCACGAACGAGGCAGGCTGCAAATGGTGAAGCATGTCTTAATCTCAAATGAGAAAAGTGCCACGCAGAGCTGATACAACACATATTTAGTACAAATGCTCCTTGCTTCATTTTGCTTCGCTTGGAAATCGGGTCTCCTAAGCATATCTATCGTAGCCACATCCAAACATCCAAACTTAAGATAATATATACAACTCCTCTGGCGCAACATGCTGGCTGCACTCATACCAAAGGTGCCTGAGAACACCTTGGGCAACCATCTGCCCTGAGCATCCTTTATGGTACTAGCAGCTGCATCTTCAACAGCCGAGTTTGCAGCAACACCTCCCAAACTTTCCACTCCTGACATCCCACACCCAGTGTCAAGATCTACTTAGAAGCCGATACTGCAAACTCAGCTGGCTTGATGTTTTTTTCAATCTCTGCAAGAGGACTATAGGACGAGTGCGCAATGTTTGGACACTGTCTGTCCGGGATGTTGAGCGGAGATAATACGTGTCCGCACAAGTATCCTGGGCATGCCCGGTACCTCGCAAAGCCAAAATCCTGATTTTGATACCCTCAGCCCTACACAACCTGGCCAATCTTACAGAATGACTCAGAATGACCCGATCCGTGCTTTGCGCCAGCCTCCTCGTTGTCACCATTTAGATCTGCGCGGCGGAGGCCGCAGCAGAGCGCGGTCCAGTAGACCTCACGAGATGCAAACTCTGCTGCATCCAGTGCCTACCAGCCTATTTGTGATACTCAAACCCGTCCTTGCGCCGCACTGCGTCAACGGCCACGTCACGGGGAGCCTCCTGCACTGAGGCCTTCACCTGTGCTTGCTCAAAGAAGTTCGCGCCTGTTCGCACTGAGCAAAAAGGCACAGCTGGGGTGAGTGCCACCACATCCCGAAGGTCCTTGCATGAGAAATTTTAGAGATGATGCCGTAGCAGCATACAGCAAGTCCAGCATCCACTCCTGGCCCTCCAGGGTGGCACTGCGGAGCTTCCGCGTCCCATCCTGAATCGCAGCTTGCGACCCGCAGGATGGAAGAATACTCGACAAACCCATGCAGCCTCTGTCCAGTACACGCGGCGATCTTGCAGATCCAGGGCTAAACCCCGCGGCAAGGAGAGCCCAGTCACCACATCCACCCCCGCCACATGGCGGCACAGCCACAGGCACAACAGCTGGACCTGGCAAATGTCCACAAGCCGTGCACTTTTTGGAATGATCTCTGAGTGCCCAGCGTGGAACGCTCTCATTCCTCGGGGCCCCCGAAGGGGAGGACCCCCCCGGAGGCCCCCCAGACCCAAAGCAAAAGTATCAGGAAGGACAGTCACCTTAATTCGACTCCCCTCTTCTTCCCTTTGAGCCAGTTTTCTGACCCAAGAAAATGTATTGAAGCATTCTCAACAAGGGCAGAGCACTTGCAACTGCTGGCCTTCCTTTTTCTCCGGCTCAGGTGTCAGCTAGCGACTTGAGCGCTCTGAGCCTTTGGCCTAGCTTGAAAGGTAGCTTTCGAGACGCTGCATGGATGCTTCCTTGCCAGCAACCAGTCACACGGTCCGAGAATACGAGCGGTGCATCGTCGCCTGCCGCGCATTCAGCTCCTGGTAGCGGCGAAGGTCCAAAGGCCTCCAAAAATTTCCTGTAATGCTATGATTCCCGTTTAGAGCTGAAGGGTCATGTCCCTCTCTACTCTCGCACAGCCTTCGCGGGTCGTCCAAACCTAAGGTGTCACAACAGATTCGTCCAAGATTGGTTTCTGCCAGGAGCCGAGCCAACCAGCGCTGATTCAATGGTTGCATCCTGGCAGCTCCAGCAGCTTGGTTACCAATTGTTGCATTCTTGCACAGTTGCGGCCATTGTCCTCCTCCTCCAGATCTGCCCATGTTGACGCATCGGCATCAGCACCCTGGAAGCGGTGCTGCCTTCAGATTCGGGGAATGTCACATCCGGTCCGCGACAAACGCGTACGAACGCTGATCAAAGGCTGCGCGGCTGAGCACTGCTGGGCATTGAGCACCAGGCGGAAGCCGCACTGGTTCCGGCTGCGAAGCCTAAGCTCTCAGCTCAAACCCTTTCCTCAGTCCTCCTCCCCTCCCTGTGCTCCCGGACACGCTGTCGCAGGCGCTGGTCCAGTGCCTTCAGCCGCTGCGCCTGTGCAAGCAATGGCAAGTTCATCAACACTTTTGTGCCGCCAGCTTCCGACTCCATGGTCAATTTACTAGGCACCTCGTTAGTCTTCTCTTGCTTCCGCTCAACGAATGACAAACTAACTGAAGATATACCCCACTGCATTCACCCTTTACCCTGGGACACCCCATTATACATGTAAAACCGTGGGTCTCGGGTAGAATGGCTCTATGAAATGAGAGGCACCAAGTGTTTGCGCAACTCTGTAAAATGACCAATCCCAAGTTTTTGGATTTGAAGGGCCCAGATTCGTCAGCGCTGCCCAGAGCCGTTGTCTCAGCTTGGTACCTAGATGCATCACGAATCCTTGGGCCCTAAATGCATCATGAAACCTCATCGTTCCCCTGAGCAGCGCTGGTACCCCAGGGCCGGATGTTGCTGGCGCCGAACTGTACATTTTCTGAGAAAAACGTACCATTCGGCCACATATGGCCACATGCTTCATGTGCCCAAATACTGAGTTTTCCATGAGAGACCTTTCTGAGTTGAATGAACTCTGTAAAATGAGTGGTCCCAGGGGACCCCCCATAAGTAAACTAAAGCGTTATTGTACATGCTACCCGGGTACACCCATTCCAAAGTGGTAATGGGCAGTGCGATCTGAAGATAAGGTTCACGAAAATGCTGCCGGCAGTGACCTGAAGTTACCTCATCGCTGCATTGACACTCCTTGTAAATGCATTCAGCGTTTGCTCTCGCCCGACGAAGTACTCACCGTGATCTAAAGTAATGAGTATATCAAATGGGCTTCAGAGTCGGATTACTGGACAAGGTCCCAAAATGATCCAGAAGCGGCCTCGCGGAGGTCCTGGGACACGGCAGTGCAATGACTCTTGCAGGGGAGGGACACTTTGTGATTGCTGATTCCGTACCTCCGCCTCCATCGCCTTGGAATGGTGGACAGCTCTATTGCAAGGCAGTTGCTGGGAACGCTGAGGCTGCAGCCCGGAAGGGATCTGAGACAGAGACCTGGCCCGCAACTACAATAATGTTCTTGCGAACTCGTGCTGTGAGCCTTTGCCCAAATCCTGCCTCTGCCAAGTCGGGAGATGTCGAGCGTGTGAAATCTATCCCGTGAGCAGCCGCAGGCTTGGCAGGAGCCGTTGCTGCTGCTGGCGGCGCTGCCGGCGCAGCGTCCACGCTTACGTTCGGGCCTCCTGTTGAGCTGATGCGCCTCCCTGTCTCTCTCCCTTGTGTGCTTTGCAGTGCCTTGCCTGTCTGCCAGAAGCTCGCCAGGCTGAGACCCGGCATAAGAACGGCTTGCTGGTGCTCAGACGATCCTAGGAACATGGGAAGCAAAGCAAGCAAAGTGCTTGGGGAGGGGAAGGGCTGCAGTCTGAAGCGGCCAAAGCACTCCGCAGAAAGTTTTGAGGTGGGTATGTCCGTTTGGTCTCGACAGGCAGAACCTGCTCCACTGGAGCCACCTCAGCATTGGCAAGCATACCAGACAATCCTCATGGCCCTGAAAAAATGTGAGGCCTTAGCTGCGTCTTCCACCTTCACCGCAGAGTGTGTCAGATCCGCGGCCCCACTGCCAGCCTGGCAGGATCAAATGCTTCCAGCTCACATCTCTCCGTTAGCCAAGCTCGGCGGGTGGGCGGCATGGCCAGGAAACTCTGCAGGCTCTGGAACCTGCTTTCCACAAAGCGTTGCGTCGTATGTTTTTCGCGAGACAAGATGAAAATGGTCTGAAATGCTTTGAGATTCGACTGCCACAGCTCTCTCCCACATCCTGGTATCCTAGTGGCGCTGTTGCCTTCATGTTAAAGGTCAACATCCCCACTGTTTCTTGCGAATGTAACCCTTCAGTACAGATGCAGGGCCTGCAAGAGGTTCCGCAAGGAATCACCGAGGTCCTGCTGGGTTGTGGGCGATACAAGGAGCTTGCTTGCTACTGGGAATCTCCTGCGTGCTCCCGAGCACTGGGAGTGCTGCAACCAGGATCTGGCAACACCCCAGGGTCCTCCCTGCTTTGCTTTTGCGAGTCTCTTTGGTCCTGCCTTGGCGGCCTTCATTGGAAGCGAGGATTGGAGGAGAGGGCCCGCTTTCCCTCTGAGCCAGCAGGGAAAACTTGCATGCAACACAGACAATGTGACAGTCGGCCTCTCTGCACATGTTTAGCAACTGGACGCTGTTTTGGTGAAACCAAGGAGCAGAAATGCTCCTACCTAGTGTTACTGACTTTAGTGAAACGAAGGAAAGCCTAGCAAACCATTCAGCAGGCGGCGCAAGTGGCAGGCTAGCGCACGCCAGCACCTGTTGGAACAAATGCTCCAGGTCTGCAACTGAAGACGTGTGGCACCTGCAGCGCCAGCAGCCACAACGGTAGTACGCCCGACCTCTTCCTTGTCGTGCGAGGCAAGAAGTCACGTACATGTGTCTCGCAAGGGCTCTGTAGGCTCATCGCCTGTGAGGTCAGCCGACGCGTGGACTGAAGCGGGCGCGTCAGCAGCACCGTCTCCTCAAAGCAAAGAATCCAAAGACAACAGGGCTGGCTGACTGGCTTCTTAAAGCTTCTGTCTTGGGACCTCCTCCTCTACTGGAGTCCGACGCCCTGTCCCAAAGTGATTTTCACAGAATAGCAAATGATTCGGCCGCACCTGGCTGGCGAAGCTGTGACCTGAAAGACTGAAAGAAACAGCAGGTTGACCGAAGACAAAGTGTTTTCCCAGTCAGAACTCTTTGAGCTCCCTGCGGCCGCAATAGTCGCTCACGCTCCGTGGCAGCCCTGCCGTTAGGTGGGAGATGGTCGGAGGCTACTTTAGTCATTGATGCTGAGTGTAACTGGCAAGCCGAGGCCCCAGCCGGCCCCGTACCTGACGCAGTGTTAGCTATGCTTTCTCGACTTTCTCAGGTGGATATTTGCCTGGCCAGAGAGGCGCCGGTGACCTGACAAAGTGCGAGGGATGGTCACATCCACGCCATGTCTCCCGCATCCTGCCTCGCCAGGCATCCTTGCAGCAAGAAGCGGGAGATAGCAGGAGCTTGGATGAGTGCATACTTGACAGACCGCATGGGCATTGAGTCTGCGGCAGTCAAGGCCATGCCCCCACTGGCACCGCCTCTGCGCAACAAACAGCCAACTTGATAAATCTTGAAATCCAAGCAAACCTCGCATACTTACAGGTAGGAAGAGAAATGGATAAACAATGTGCGCGGAAGGGAAGCGTCCAAAACAAACCCCTTCTCTTTCATTGGAGCACATCAAACTTCAAAGACTTTGCAGACCGCATTCCGAGCCAAAACATGTCACGTGACCGCGCGTGTTACGAAGATCTGGGGCAATTCGTGGTGATGACCGTCAAGTGGACGGTGAAGAAAATTCAGCATGGCAAGTTCCATCTGCTAGTTTGTGGCTGGTGAGTGCACCCTCTGACAACCAGGGGTCCTTCTCATCATCAGCACGATTTCACGTCCTGCTAAAGTCGCTGGCAGGACAGCAGCGTAGCTGGCGGTCCGTTTATCCAGCTGGGTGCCTTCCCTTCGATATGTTGACAAAGCTCGCAGCTTGTTTGGAAAGCTTCAGGGACCCAAAAAGTCGTTCTTAAGACGTGCAAAACGCCTGCCACAGCGGCACTAGGGACCGGAGCTCAACTGCAGCAACCCTGTGACCCCTCTATCCCGGAGCCCAGATTTCAACATGTTGGGCCCACACGTCAATCTAGGTGGTTTACAGCACGCGACAGTCCACACTCTCTCGTCCCCTCTGCCTGTCGCTTTGCATGGACCTCGAAACCTTCAAAACTGCTACCCTGTTGCGATGTAAGGAGAGCATTCCAATCCCCCCAACTGCACGGTTTGCGTAACACGCTCATCTCTTGACTGTATGCTGCCCTCTTCATTTTTTGAGCCCATGCATGCGCAACATGGCAGAATGAATGAAAATGCTTCAAACTCAGGACTTTGGAATGCAGTATGCCAGACCAGGAGCAGGTTAGTTAGCCGTTTAATTAGGTAAAGAGCACAGGAACAGCACATCGAACCACCACAGCAAACATTGCAGAAAATGTGCTCGGAAGAGTATTTCTTTTCGGCTAGAACTCTCTTGCAAAATAGATTATGGACTCCCGGAAATGGGGGAAGCCACGTCCTGAGAACACCTAGGGATTCTGAGACGAAAGTAGCAGGCGTCTCGTTCGACGATTGCACAGGGACTATGCTGGAAATATTCTTGAGGAATTTGAAAATAATTGGGGGCGGACGTTCCATCAATCATGCTCGATGAGGCCAGATTTATTTGGTAGCTGCCTAGCACTGGTAGCCCTAGAGGAGTATGTCTGGAAACGGATCAGTGTAAACTGCCAGCGAAGACAAGCCATCTGCGCCGTTGAACAAGGATACGCCGTCCGCCGCAGTACAGGCGCAAGTTATTGAAACCACATTGAGAGTTACCGTAACAAAAAGCACATGGATATCGTTGGAGACACACCAAGAAAAATGAAAGAAATCACATGTGGTGTTTGCTTTGGCATCCGGAAAAGTACGATAAACGCAAAGCGCATGGCGTGGTATGGTTTTTCCCAGACAACATCGTGACACATGGGATTCTTGCATGAAGCATCAACAAAAAAAGGTTGGTGAAGCTGCGCAGCGCACGAACGGTCCCCACACACACAATCCATCCTTGCGAAATCGCATTCCCACCAAAGCCACGCGTGCATGCTTGTCACAAGTATAAATGTTGTTGCCTTGGCACCCTCATATCTTCGTCCAAAACTTATGACCATCACACTCAATGGGGCGTCCAGGCTGCCATCCCTGCGACTCATAACTTTGGAACCGTTGCTCTTGGAGCGCCATTTCAGTACTCCTGTGTCATCTTGGCGTGATTTCCTGAGTTACTTAGAATTTTGGGAGATTCACGTGTGATCCTTCCAGAGCGCTCGTGGCGCTCTTGAGGTTGTTTTGGAGTGTTGTTGGAATGGTCTCAGTGTGCTTCTGGAGTACCTGCACTCTGGTGAACCTACACGTTGAGTCACTGGGGACTAGACTAGACTGAAGAAGTCTGTGATGAACACCGTTGCCAAAAAGTTTGCATGTGTGCGACGCAAAGCTGGGCTCAACCAAGTTGATGGGGTATAGGTTTTCTTGCCCTGGAGGCACGGGCCGGGCCATGGGACGCGGGCCGCGGAACGGGTGGCGCAACCGCCCTAAACCTTAAAAACGCTAAACCACAGAAAACCCTAAACACCCTAAACCATAAAAACCATAAACCCCTCTAGATATCCTAAAAACCCAAACCCTGAATACCTAAAAAGCCCCAAGACACGCTAGACCCTAGGAACCCTGGAAGCCCTTAACCCCAAAACCCCTAATTTCCAAGAACCGAAACCCAGAAAACCCTTAACACCCCCAACCCTAAAATAGTAAACCCTAAAAACCCTTGACACCCTAAACCCCAAAAGACCCTCACACTGAAACCCAAAACTCCCTAAACCCTATACACCCTTGCCTTATAACACCCTGAACCCTGAACCAAAAAACACTAAACCCCTCCGAAAAAACAAACACCCTAAACACCCTAAACCCTAAAAACCCTAGACCCTATACATACCTTAAACATGACCCTAAACCCTGAATGCCTAAAGCCCCTGCCCTAACCACGCTGGACCCTAAAGACACTAAAAGCCCTAAACCCTGAAAACCTAACACCCCTAAACACCCTGGACCCTAAAAGCCCTAGAAGCCCTAGCCTAAACCGAAATAACCCTAAATCCAAAAAAAAACTACGCCCTAAACACTCCAAACACCCCTAACCCCCAACAGAATAAAACCTAAAAACCGGAAACACGGTAAACCCTAAAAGCCCTTCACTCTGAAAACCCCAAACCCCCTAAACCCTAAAACCCCCTAAAGCACGCCAAGCCCTAAAAAGCCTAATCCCTTAAAACCCTAAACACCTTAAACATCCCGTCAGCTACTAGAGGGTTACCCCCCCCGACCCGGATATTAGACCCAAATGTCTGGGTCGAATATCCATGGATTGGGGGGTTGTGGGATGCCTAAGAGGCAGTAAATTAGACCTTGTCATTTTGGGGGGTCGACTCATATGGCAAACCAGTAGATG